AGCGAAAATTAATTTAAATGCGGCATAACAATTTGATGTAGTGCACGCATACACGTAAAGGGCCAACAGCCTTAACTGATAGGTACGTATGTACTTACATGTACATGTTATATAGGTATATTTAGATTAAATATCTTTTAAGGAAGGATAAGAAATTTCGGGACTTTAAATACAATTTGCACTAGCTTAATCAGTTTTTATATTTTATTTATAAACTGTTCAAACCAAAACTTAAGCTTCTTAAATCAAGGTATATCCAATCAATAAAATTGACTATTCACATTGCTGTTGCTGCTATTGTTAATAAAACAGTTTGACTTTTTTTTACCAATAGATGGCGCGAGAAGGGCTGCCAAAGTAACGGTTTGTTTCATATGATTATATACATTTTTTATGCTGAAATCTTGTTACATTAAGTTGAGTAATTAGTTAAATAATAGGGTCGATGACTTTAAAGACGGGTTGGGCTAGTCTAGAGCCCTTCAAAAGCCCATCCTCGTTAAGGCTTTAATAAACATGTAATTTTTGCATAATGGTTTGAATTAATATGGCGGCTACCGAGTCAATCTTCGGGATTACCTTTTTCAATAGCGTCAGAAGTTGTAGGAACTTATGTTATCGGAAACAATAAACTTTTGAATTTTTTTTTCAGCATTTACCAATTGAATAATGTTTCGAGATGCCTTAAGCCAAACTTTTTTTTTGAAAATCATAGACTTCCTTCATCCCTGATGTTTTAATTTTAATATAACAAGTGTATATATTAGTTGCTGTTTGATTATTTATGTATTCTAGCAACATCTTGCTACAGACTGTCAAAGTTTTGTTCACCTAACGGTTGTTTGTAACACCAAAAACTAATCGAGATAGATATAGAGTTGTGTATATATAAATGATCAGGATGACGAGACGATTTGAAATCCGGTTGACTGTCTGTCAGTCCGTCCGTGCAAGCTGTAACTTGCGTAAATTTATGAAACCATAAAAAGTTTAAATTGGCCCGAGAAGGATGAGAATGGAAGCGTTTTGGAAAAAGTATGGTTTGATCGTGCAGGATCTTCTCAAATTGTATTTTTGAAGTATTTTCGAAAAAAGTCATGCTGATTTCATTCCAACTGACCATGGTTCTGCTACAGAATATTCTAATAGTGATATCGAGGATGAAGATGAAGAATAGTAAATGGCAGATTATAATTATTTATATGGTAAGAATAGATTCAAATGGTCAGTGGTCGCTTCGATACGAAAAGTTCAATTAATACACATAACCTCATACGCATGAACTCTCAACAGATGATGGATCTTAGTTCTGCAGACGTTTTTATCAAAATTTTTGGTACAGTAATGAAGAATTTATTACTTACTTAGAATAACTGTTTCCAACAAAACTACTTACCTTTGTTTAACTTCCAAACAACCAATTTGTGTTACATGTGCCAAAAAATATATTTAACATGTGTTTCGATTTAGTAACTTCACACGTTGCACGATCTTTTATTTTAAATGGAAAGAAAACCTTCTAAAGCTCTTTTATTATTATATATGTTATGCTTAAGTGAAATGTATAAAGCACTATTTTTATGATTTACTTTCGCTTAATTTGGAGTCTTTATTTTTTAATATTTTTATATGATTTTTTAGGATTATCGTATGATAAAAACACTAAGGTGTACCTCTCTATTAAATAAAATGTTGAAAAAAATAATACCTTTGGTGGTTTTTTTCTTAATATAATGAGTTCTGGGGACTTAGGGTAGTAGTGTACGTAATTTGTTTTTGGGTGTGCGGTTAAGGGTGCCACTGCCATGCCCCACAAATAAACTGCCGTAACTAAGCCGCAAATTAAGATAAAAAACTTTAATGCCATCATTTGTGGTTTGAAAATCTTTAAAAATGGGTTGTGGCCCGACCCATTATAGATTTAATGTATAAATAAATAAATAGGTTAAAACCGGATGTTGACCCCGCCCGCTCCACATATAATGATTTTGATTAAAACTATTTAAAGTACGATTCATCAATAACTAAAAGGACATCAAATCTTACAAATAAGGTTTTACAATCGAGTTGTAAAGGAGCCGATTAATAAATTGGACAATCGGCGTGACACTGCCCATCTTTAGGTGAAAACGTAAGTCCCTGGAACATATAAACCAATTTCAACCGGAATGGAACTTTGCACAAATAGTGCCTTTAAAATATGCCGTCTCAAGTCTTAAAGCTGTCAAAATCTATAACGATTCAAATGCCATATATAGAAAATATAGACCTAGTGCATATGTCTGACTTTTTGTTGAAAATATCAGTCAATGTGTTAGATATATAATTGAAATTCGGAGAGAGCCCTTTTCTCATAGTAGGATGTCTATATGATGAAAATGAGTCAATATCGGCCAGAATGTGGGTTATCTTAATACAATTGAGTGAGCGTGTTTTTCTAATAACGGTACATCTTTGTGTCCTAGCCCTCATATAACTAATGTCAGAATTCTCAAACATAAAACACCGAATTTGAGTGTAATTTATTCACGATTTCGTCGAATAATCAATGTTGATTCTCCATTCATTTATTAATTTTTTCCCTCGGATTCATTATAATACAAGTATTTTATTATTCAAACCTATTTCAGAAACCAACTTGAAAAATGATCGGAAAACTGCTCTTTGCCACTGATAATTTGGTTTAAAAATCATTAATTTCATGATTCATATGTTTATAGGTATAAGTAAGATGAGCTCAGTTGAAATGAGAAAATTTGGTAGCTAATGGAAACGAATTTCTCGACTTACTTCATTATACATTACAGTTATTGTATAAAGTGCACAGCACATCACTTTATGATGATGATGATGTGCAACTTTTGACTTTACTGCAATTGTTCTGTTCGTAAGCCGAATATAAAGCAATATGAGCATATAACGCAAACAATACCTGAATACAAATTCATATGTACATATATGTATTTTGCAATATATGAATGCATTGATGCTGAACAGTAATATTCATTCAATGGCAGTGACCTTTCCGAAAATTTCTCAATTAATATCTGTAATTTTCATGGCATCCTAAGCCTCTTATGTAGGTATGTGTACGTATTGTCATTATTGTGAGAATACATATACATGAATGGATATAATAAATTTTATACACATTATACGAGTATATGCTCTTGAATGCACTAAATATAACGACGCAGCTCATTTCCACTAAATATACTCGCCAGCTTACAATCGTTCAAAATATCAATTTAAATTTTAATGCTTATCAAACTGTGAAATTAATTTTATACTATATGTGTAACTCTGCGAGAATTGCATAAACACAATTAATAGTTAATAGTTAGTTACCATTATGAGTTGTTAAGTGAATGTCATTTTACTATTTTGTTAATTTTACGACTTACACATTAATATATATTCAATATATAATACAGTTATATATATATATATATATATATATCTTGAACTATATATATATTAGTATGATCTCACAACACACATATGTATATTATTAAAAGTACCGCTGATTACATATTAGTTTTACCGAGTCACAAAATAACATTACTACCCGAAATTTTTTTAATTCTAATCTTGATGTTTATTGCATGTTTAACAGGGTAGGGAATTGTAATGTAATTAAAATTGCAAAACCGGAATGATAAAATCAATTAAAAGTAAGAAGTATAGCATCCATTATTTACAATCATAGGCAAGAAGATTCACTATTATTAGAAACAGATTCTTTTGGAATTTCATTAGATATCTTACATATTGACCCATCAACCGGAAGTTCGAAAATATTAATATTAGGTGTTTGGGAGCTAAGGGAAGTATTGATCCGATTTTACCCATTTTTAGCACAAGGGCATGCTGTCATCACGAAAATATTCTCCCCGAATTTCAATACTAAAACTCAAAGAGTGACCGATATGTTTGGTAAAAAATCAGCCAAATTCAATGGTTTCCACATATTTGGTGTCTGGGTCTTTGAAAAGTTGTAGTCTAATTTCGAACATTTTTCGTCGTTAGATTAAATATCTTGTGTCACTATATGTTCAAAGTTTCACTCGCATAACTTCAATGATGTTTCGTATTCTGTAAAGTAAAAGAATCAGATGAAATTTAAAAGTCTAATGGAGTTAAATTACAACTTCTTAGAGGCCATTCAATGTCATAATTTTTTGAAATTTCCAAATTTTTCTCACAATAATTCGGTTGTTGCTTGTGCTGTGTGGCACGTAGCCCCGTTTTGTTGGAACCAGATATTTTCAAGATCAACTTCTTCCAATTGCGGTCATAAAAAGTTGGATATCATCGATCTATACCAAAAACCAAACCAAACTGTTAGTTTAAGTAAATGTAATGGTTATTCATGAATAATTTGTGGATTTTCTACACTGGTAAAAGCACACGAAAACTTGCAATTGGAGAACAATTATTTTAATAATAAAATTAAATAACCATGATGAAATTGTGAAAAATACAGATCATGACGTATTAAAAATGGTCCAAACTACACTTAGAGGTCCTCAACTGAACCCTCCCTGAGAGTGCCGACTGGTAATAGATACCACAGTTTCACGACGTGAGCGGGGACGAGGTGGTAACAGTCCGCCAGTATATTACCTTGGAGGAAAGTCACGGTAATATACATACCTAAGGCGGGCTTTCTACCGTTATAACTCCGCATATATCTCGATTAGTTTGCGGTGATACAAGCAACCGTTAGGTGAACAAAGCTATTATTCGCTGTGCAACATGTTGCGAGGTTATAAAATTGATTATTGAATTGATTGGCATAAACCGTTTGCGTGTGTATGGTAAGTAATCGGCAAACTCCTGGTCTAGTATTGAATATGATGGCTTTGTGCGAGCTCTAGATCAAAATGGTATAACACACTGTACTTAAGCGCCAAATAATTTGAATTCAATAATAATTTTTGTTTTTAGTTTTAAACTTAGGATAACATTTTTTTTATTTTTCAATCCGGTATTTGTAGTTAAACCAGCAACTCGGTATTGAAATGAGGGACGGCATATCAAGGCCTTTACGAACAGCTGCAAGCGAAGATGACTAGATATTCAGCATAAGAAAAACATTGGAAAAATGATGAGAACATCGACTCACATCACCTTTTAGTCCATTTTAAAGTCGCCTTCGACAGAGGGCACAAAATTAATACGGTTGTGTAAATTGACGTTAAGCAACCGACCGGTTCGATACCAAATGAGGTTTCAGACGATAATTTTTTATAAGAGTGTACAGCTACTGGCGATAGCCGATTATATTGATATCATTGGCCTCAACAACCGTACTGCTAGTTCTGTGCGGTACAGTATATTCAGACTGAATAAGAAAGCGCGTCTGATAGTGAATGAGGACAAGACGAAATATCAAACAAACAGTCGTATTTGCTACTTGGCTCACACGACTTTGTAGACTTGGAAGTCATAGATAATTTCGTCTTACTTGGCACGAGCATTAAACTTAACAACAATTTCAGAGTTGAAATCTTACACAGAATCACTCTTACCAATAGGTGCTACTTTAGACTGAGTAGAATATTGAAACAAAGACCAAACTCTAAAAGTGCCTCATCATTCCCATTGCAGTATGGTACGCAGGCATTAACAATGACAACATGTGATGAGTCGGCGTAAGGAGTTTTTGAGAGAAAGGTTTTGGAAAAGATGTATGGTTCTTTCCGCATTGGCAACGGCGATACCGCAGTCGATGGAATGATGAGCTGTATGATATACTCAGGACAGATCGAATGGATAAGAACACTCTATCTTTGAACGTATTCGATTCCCGTACCGTACCCGCCGTTGGAAGCAGAGGAAGGCTCCCACTCCGTTAGAGAGATGATGTAGAGAAGGATTTGGCTCCGTTTGTTATCTCCAATTGGCGCAAAATAGCGAAAAGAAGAAACGATTGGTTGGATTAACTCGGCTATAACCGACAAAAATAAAAGGTTTCAATTTAAATGTTAATTAAATTTGTTTAATTCATTTTTGCAACCTGATGTTAATTGTTACATTAATTGTAATATACTTACCAATTTTATTAATATCTCGCATTGTTACCAACACATACGGAGTAAAGTTCACCAGACTAACTGAGAACAATAAATTCGTACCGAATAAAGATAAAAGATACGGCTTTATTTGGCCGGGTATATGTGATCTAGAAGAAGGTATGATGTTTTCCGCTTCTAATTTCATTATAACCTGAAACAGATATACGAGTATTAAGTTTGCCACAAAGTTTGTGACACCCAAAAGGAAGTCAGAGACCCTATAAAATGTTTATATTATATAAATGATAAGCATGACGAGCTGAATCGGTTTACCCATGTCCACTATGGTTGACAAGATATCTTCACGAGATTTGGCATAGATTATTGTCAAACGCCAACGCTACAATGTCCGATTTTGTTCAGATCGGACCACCATAGCATATAGCTGCCATATACAAGTAATTCGACTGCAAGCGTATTTATATCAAAAAACGTGGCTAGGAGTAACTGGCAAAACCTTTTCCGTTGGATGATCACCGTTGGCTGATTTTTAGATTTAGTTATAAATATATTTGCTATAATAAATTCGAATGTGATACTACCTTCATCACCGCATCCGAAGTTAATGTTTTTTCTTAATTTAATGAGTTCATATAACTCTTATAAATATTTAGCCTATATATTATATTTAGTCGATTTATAGTATTATTTCCCTCTTTAATGTATTTGAGGAGTTTTAATTTATTTTACATTTTCGCCACAATTTTTCTGTTGCGCACCAACATACTCGTGCTCCTGCCGCCTTCCATTTTGTACCGTCCGCCTTTATTGCCACTTAAGAGCGGCTACGATGGGTAAAGAACTGCGGCTGCAGTGAAGTGTGTCAGTTGTACGGTTCACCGGTTGTGGATAAACTCGACTGGTGCACAGCCTTGAAAGCCATTGGCTTACTTCTTGTGTTGTAGTACGAGTTATGTACATTAACTACAACAACAACAACAATATTAACAACAGTTGTTGCAGGGCCTATGAAAACAAATTGGTATGGTGTATGCAAAAGGCCAAAGTAAACGAAGGAGTACATGAGGCAGCACAGGTGGCAACGCCAGACGAGTGAATGCGCACAAAGTCAGTGGGGTGCGCTTGCTTAAGTAGCAAGTAGTCGCGCCAACAGCAACAATTACAACATCCCTGTGTATTAATGAACAGTTCGAGGGGCTCTCATTGTGGTCGGAGGTTGCTATATTGCTATTGTTCGTGTTTCTGGCGTTTGTTTGTGATAGGACTACCACAACATTTTACATGCATTTGTAATGAAAACAATCCACACAGTACAGAAACAGAAACGAGCACGAAAATGCAAACACAAGTTACAGGCAAGAGCTCACAAACCGAGTTTTGTGAGAGTTGATGTTGAAAGGAGGGGTTAGGCTTTGAATTATAAGTTTAGATATGGATTATGGGATTACATCATTCTCTCGGTCAATCAACTTCCTAGCAACGAATGATATTGAAATCGTAGCAATTGCATCAGCATTTATCTATCTAGGTCAAAACGATCCGATCTGAATAATTTCTTCGAAGATTGAACCATTGGCTTAGACAATAATCCATGACCGATTTCTTGAAGATACCTTGTCAGATAAAAAAGTTTTCCATGCAAGGACGTGATTTCGATCGTTCAGTTCGTATGGCAGCTATATGTTATAGTAGTTCGATATCGCCGGTCCCGAAAAATGAACAGCTTCTTGGGAAGGAAAGGACGTGTGCAAAATTGTATATCGATATCTCAAAACGAGATTGAAATAATAATTTATTGCATACATTCGCAGGTTTTTCTTTACCGTATGCAACAGAAGAAGCAGTATAATAGTTTTGTTTTCCCAACAGTTTTTTAAATCACAGAAAAGTAATGGAGAGTTGAGTGCTGAGTGACAAGTATAAACTGTTTAAAAAATAGTAGTAGTCATAGTATCCCTATAATAAGTTAGAAAATAGAGGAAATGGGACTACTGCCCATATAATAATAACTCGAGGTTAAGTGAAGATATCAAAACAAAATTTAATACGAATCACATTGTGCCTTTGACATGTGATGTGCCTTATCTAAAAATCATTGAAATTGGCACATATTTAGATAAAATTGTATAAAATCGTAATGAAATTCGGTAGAAATTTATGATTTTGTTTCAGGCCTCATTTACCTAATAAAATGAGTTTTGCCTCCGATTGTCTTTTAACTTAAAATATCATTTAATATTGAAAATATTATTATTTAGATCAAAAAATGATTATATCGGTTCGCAACTTTCCATAGGCTCGTCAACTAATCTACCTAGTCTTAATACCATATTTTTTAGGACAGCATAGCACATACATACGTGTTTCAACACAAAAATTTAGTGATGCCGATTTATACCTCGCCCCCCAGCAATAGTATGTATAATAAACAAAAATGTCTCAATTAGTGTTGGCCCAAGTCCTAATCTATAGAATAAGCTAAGAGAAAACAAGAAAAAACGTTAACTTTGGTTGCACCGAAGCTATATTACCCTTCACAGATACAAAGGTTCCTTACAATAATTTGATTCCGATCTAATCTCGTAAAGATACCTCGTCAAATAAAAAAGTTTTCCATACAAGCCTATTCTGATTTGTTCAGTTTGTATGACAGCTATATGCTATAGTGGTCCGATATCGGCCGTGACGATGAATCCGAATGAGCAGCTTCTTAGTGAGAAAAGAACAAGTGCAAATTTCAGATCGATAGCTTAAACACTTTGGGACTAGTTCGCGTATATACAGACGAACGGACGGACTTGGCTAAATCAACTCAGCTCATCATGCTGATCATTTATGTATACATTTTATAGGGTCTCCGACGTTTCCTTCTAAGTGTTACAAACTTCGTGGAAAACTTAATATACCCTGTTCAGGGTATAAAAATTACGACAATCGGCCGTAGCAAAGAGAACATAATGATAAACTTTTACATATACGCGAAAATATCTCACAAGTCTATAGTTCATACTAATTGCGGGAGGATATTAAAGCTTGGTCGCATTTAAAATAGTAAAATAAAACCTCTAATATCGGGCAAAAATTTACAACTGTAAATAGAAGGACTAGGTTAATTTTTGTGGTAATAATTGAAAAACTTCTGTTTGATGAACAAAGCTTTAATACAATGCGTTGGTTATAAAAAAAATAACATTGATTTAATAAATCTTGCTTGACTTTTTATTTTGCTAATGAATTTTGCGGTCCTTGAGGCAGTTATACTTGTAGACGCATGTTCTCCTCAATAAAAATAAATAATAACGACAAGAGGAGCAGTCATGTAAAAAATGTATACGATAACTCAAAAGTGATTAAGCAAGTGTGTGCGTGTGCTCTTACACTCATATACTCTGGAGTAAAATGAGTTTGGTACATATTTATGAACGGTAAATGCGAAATGCACGAATTGCAGTTATAACGGGCACGTGCACGTGACATAACAGTATATTAACAAATAGTATACACAAATGTACGAAGGTACAAGGACCGATATCGTTCACTCCGGCATTGAGATGACTAAATACACAAACACTTGTAAACACGAATGTGGGCATGTGTGCAATCACATTAAAACGCGCATGAAGGAAATGAGCTTTTTTCCCGCTGGATTATGACAAAATGAGGTAAAATAAATATCTTTAATGTAGTTTTCGTGTTAACGCGAACGTTAAGTGTTACCGCCTACAGCTGTGCATTGCAGTGTTAAGTAATGTCAGTGTGTGTGTGTTTGGCAATGATCACAGCATGCGTGGCCTCTTGAAGCCACAATCCTTTGCACTTTTAACGCATTGCTTGATGCAAAATTCATGCACGCGGATATAATGTTGTTCACGTAATGGTATTTACGCAATGAAAGAGCTACGTAAATAGGAATACAAGCGCTGACACAGGTGAGCGGGTCAATAGCCTGGCCACGTCTGTATAATGCTTGCATGTGGCGTAGTTTTCAGTTTTTAACATTCAATGCGTCCACTGAATATACAGTGATTAAAATAGAAATTACTTCTAAAGACAAATAGCATTCAATTAAAACAAAATTAATTTAGTAACATACAGATAATTTAAAAAAACATTTTTATACATTTTCTTTTTAAATTAACATTTTTATTTCAGTGACAGAAATAAAACGAAATACCTTCTCAGATATGATTCAAAGGTCGGAAATTTCAAGCTATTTGTAGTTGTAAATCCTCACGTCGAATGAAGGTGGCTTAATAAATTAAAAATATCTTTTATACAAATGCAGCTATATGCTATAGTGATACGATCTGAACAATATGTTCGGAAATTGTAATGTGGACTTGGAAAAGAATTTATGCTAAATTTGAAGATATCTTGTCAAGTTCAAAAGCTTTCCATAAAAGAACTTGATTCTGAACGTAAGGATAGAGTTTTGGCTTGCAAGTAAGCGCTGTCGCTAAAAAATTAGACGCAGTCACTATGTGGTATCCAATTATTAGAGAAATCCAAACATCTACTACAGTAATAGAAAAAGTAGACGCGAAAGAAAACTGTAAACGTAGCATGCGAGGAAAATATGTCGAATTGTGAGCAGTTCAATGCAGAGTAGTTTTGCATTTTCTAGCCACTGTGCCGGTTGGATTTATCTGAGCGCAACCCCTCAACCAATTGGGCCTCAGTAACTGAAATATTTATTTTATAAAAACTACGAAATCAGTTATTAAAATGTATTTCCATACAATATTTTCGGATGAAATGAATACAACTTTGAAGGCCCAGGTGGTTTTAATGGATATTGACATGATATTCGGAAATAACCGATGGGAGCGAGTTCCTCCACGAAAAAATTTGAACTGTACTTACATAGGGATTCTCAGAAGCAGTCTTGCTTTCTTTCTAGCTTCCAAAAAAAAAAAATTTGGAAACTTAATAAAATCTAATTTGATGATGAAACAGAGTGTATAGTTGGAATCTTATATTAGTCAGGAACTCTGTTGAATGCATTTTATTTTTATAGAAATATGCAAGATCAGTAGTACTAAAGAAATATTATGATATTCTTCCCTTCAGAAAAGTCAGGCGTAACTCCGAAATATGACTAGATGACTTAAGATCTTATAAGCTTTTTTGCCTTTTGGTGGTCAGTAACAGCTTCCATTCAAATATTCGGCCTTAACACTTCTCTCATAAATATCATATCTCGTTCGAGAGCGCTACATCTTTATTGGCTC